ATTTTTTTTCCCAGGATATCTATGCTGGGCTCACTGATTGGGTAGAATTAATCTGGGTTATTAACCTTCAGATGTTTGTATATGAGTTGTTCGTTTTGTCAAATCTGTTGCTTTCCATACGGTAAGTTGTCATATGTCCAAACTGGCGTGCAAATGGAACATTGATCTTTTTTGGGCAAAACGGTGGCGCGCCATTTATTCGACCTTGCAGCTCACGCGATAAAACGGACTCCTTCACCCCGGCTACGTTGTCGTTCTCGGTATACACAGCTTACAAAGCTACTGATCTAGTCTAGGCCTATGATAAATAGTCCTTGACTTAAGATGATCCAAAAGGCCCTTCTCTCTCTACACGACACCAGCGTCAACAGCAATGGCCAGCATTCATTACGCGGCGCGGCGGGGCAGCATCCATTACAGTCGACCCATCTACACCATTGCCACTTGGCGGCCAGATCCTGTCGCTCCTCTAATCTCCCCTAGTCTCCTCAAAGCTCCTCCAAACTGATCTGATCGTTTCTGTGGCTCCTCCATCCTTATCCAAGGTTCTCAAAGCTCAGCCCAAATCTCCAACCTGCTCCGAAATGATTTTTTTTTTCGCGGGAGTTTAGAGGAGGCTATGGTAGACATTGATTGAGCAGTTCATTCATATCTGCATTTGTTATTCGACGCAGATTTAGCGCTGCTCCAGTTTTCCGCAAATAAACCCCAGCTTTTTTGGAGCAGCGCTGGGAACAGACTCTTGGTGTTATCGTAAATTCTGGGTGAACTAAAGACGCACACTAAATAGACTTATGTGAAAACAAAGAAGCTCGATGTATATTAAAACCTTGTTCTGGGTTAGAAACGCTTGTTTTGGCAAATGCGTGCCTCTATGAAATTTCATGCACAATCATTTCCTGGTCAATATGTTAAGTATATATTACAGCGGTCCCCAAGACACCTTACTTTCGTCCTTTCCAGCGCATCACTCTTTTTCGAAAGCAGCAAACACCATTATGCGTTATGCTCGATTAACATGGTTTGTTCTTTTCAAAATATCATGAACTGAATACGTCCTGAGGCAACTGCGCCATTTCGCGTAGTTGGTCAGGACTGATGTACTGAGCAAGACCATCCATGCGTCATTGATCTTGCAGAGAGAAACACCTGACTAACAGAGTGGTTTCCCCAACAGGCACATACGGAGGTGGCATACAACGATCAGAATGACTGGATGGGCAAGACACAGGAGTATTTTCGCTGGTTCACGCCATGATTACTGATGTAGAAAAGAACTGCCGACAAGACTAACACCGCACTTCTACGTGACGTGACCATCCCGGTCAAGAAGTTTGCTGACACTATTCAGTTCAAAATTACAAGTTGTTAAGCGCACTCGCGAAAAAACGTTATTCATGTAGCCAAGACAGTAAAAATAGCCGTATTCCTCGAAGAAAAACCATCGATATTGTTTGCTATCTTCTGCTATTGTTTCGATAAAGGTACGTTGCCGAAATATCAACGCATCTGCATCTCCATTCTCTTGGTTTTTCTCCGAGGGATAAGGCTATTGCTACTGTCTTATCTACGTTTGCTGACAACTCAAACACCTTACAAAAGGTTCGCAGTAAAAAGCTGTTCACAAATTTACACCTACAATACAAAACTGCCCTGGGCGGGACCCGCGCGCGCCATTACATCTGCACCCAAAACTTCTGCGTGGCACGCGCACACGAAGACGCTCCTAAACGCCCGCGCTGCTGGCAGATTATTTCATAAAAAGGTCCATGTGACTGTTTTCCAATTTTTGCGGCAATGCTCTGCTTATATTAGGGCATTTACAAACATTAGCATATTGTTGCACCATCGCGATCAAGTGGAAAATACATAACATATAAAGTATATATTAAAGTACATATTAAGTAGATCTTGGGATCTTTGGTGTGGGAAAGGGGCATATGAACACCAGTAGGTACCACGCTAACGGAATTGCAAACAGGGCAAGGAAAGGCCAAGGAGGCAGAAAAATTACTCAATGCGATACATTCTTTGCCTGCGATACCATGTTGAATATGATACATGTATTGCCGAATGACACGTTGGACAAACCAGCGGAACCATCTGCCATGGACGTATGGTACCGCACTGTTGGCAGAAGGGCGCCATGCGGTGCTTTACCATGATGTGGAGACGTTCTGGTGTTATAGGCTGACCGATGGCACGATACTGTTGGCAGTAGGGCGCCATGCGGTGCTTTAGCATGATGCGGAGACGTTCTGGTCTCACAGACTAACCGATGTGGAGACGTTCTGGTCTTAGAGGCTACCGATGGCTCCACACTGTTGGCAGTAGGGCGCCATGCGGTGCTGTACTATGATGTGGAGACGTTCTGGTGTTATAGGCTAACCGATGGCTCCACACTGTTGGCAGTAGGGCGCCATGCGGTGCTTTACCATGATGCGGAGACGTTCCTGGTCTTACTGGCTAACCGATGGTACCGCACTGTTGGCAGTAGGGCGCCATGCGGTGCTTTACCATGATGTGGAGACGTGCTGGTCTTATTGGCTAATCGATGTAGCCAGGTGCTCGAATATGGTCCGTTGCCGATCGTGGAGTATGCTGAGCGTGGGCGCTCCTAAGTCCGGCTCCCACGACTTCCTGGCATTTGCATGTCTATTCTCATAATTCCACATTGCCTGTTCAGTATGCATTCAGCATTTCCTGTTTAGTAAGAATGCGTTACTCGCGTTTTTGGACCTTGTATGCCTCTGCATGCCATTGTCATCAGACAATGGCATACAGAGCTTGGGCATGAGCACTGCACAAAGGCTCACAGCTCACTAGAACGTTCATGTACTTTCAAGAAAAATTGTATTATTTCACGAACTTCAAGATATGTGTGCACCCGGTAGGTCGGGTTTGGGTCCTCAGGGTCGCCTTAGATGCTTTGGCTTACACGAACGGAGAGGGACAGAAGGACAAATTTAGTAAAACGAGCAACCCATCGTAGATCGAACGTGTAAGGAACCTGCTCAAATCAAATTCGCGTTTCCTTTCTAACACTGACGTTTTGTAATCGCCGGCAGTGATGCTGGCGAGGTATGTCAAGACTCCATGAGGAAAGCGTGCTCTGCTAATATTGATCGTGTAGACCTAGGTCAGATCGCACCAGGTCAGGCAAAGTTAATTATCCTGGGTCAGGCCGGGTCAGATCAGATCACAACAGGCTAGGTTGTGATGTGCCAATTTTGGTCAGATGGCGTGGAATTAAGATGCGATAGAATTGATGTCTGCGGCGGCATTTTCGTGTTCCGTAGGAGTTTTAGGTGTGCAGGCTTGGTGGCGGAAATGCTTTGTCAGTAAGCATAATGTCTCGCGAACAATTTACCCGTCGTGGTTTTGATGGGTAACAGCACCGCTGTGCACACATTTTGCCCCTCATTTTTATTGTGTAGGGGTTTTGTCCGTGGCTTGCACGGAACTATTAGCCGTGGCATTTGTTCTCTGGAAATAATGACCCGTAAAAACTTTGTCCGTAACGGTTCTGTTTCGTAGCAGCAACGTCGTTTAGAAGCCTGCCAACTGAGTTACTTCGTGTAAAAGTTTTGTCGGTGCATGTCCCTACATTAACGTTCAAGAAGGGTCTAACTTCAGATGCATAGGAAAATTGAAATTATTTAGCAACTTTGAGGTGAATCGAGCTGGTTGTCATTTGGGCTGAGTGTGACCTTGGGTGACCTTGGAGGGTGACCTTGCGAGGTTGGGACGTTTTGTGACGTGCTCTAGTACATGCGCTTAGAGACGATCGTGATGCGGAAATATGAAGGCAGCCGTTACCTTTTGGGCGAGATGGATTTTGCAATGATTTCAACTCTCATGTACCGTCGAAGTATAACCAACTGAGGGATCAGGATTCCTTAACTTGAAAGATGCTAGTTAATTCGTTGGTTGTCATGCAGAAAAAAATTGAGTCGCCCAGAAACTTTTGAAAGATGGGGAATTCAGCTTCTCCAAGCTTTTCCAGTGACTAGCCTCGTTATAAGAAAGAGCCAAAGACGTTCAAAAAGAGCCAAGTTTTCCCACCTCGCCCAAGTCTGCGTCGTTTTAATCGCCTTTCATAAAAAAGTCGGAGACGGCCTGAAATTCGTTCCCGTGGAATGGTACCGGAATGAATTATATGATAGGAATGAATAATGAATGAATAAATGAATTAATGAACGAATGATGAATGAATGAAATTAATGAAAAATACGTTCTGCACTGTCGACAAATCACGTCATGGCTGCTCTTGGCAGACCTTGCTTAGCAAACACAGCGCAGCCACCGCTTCTGCCGCAGAACGAAGGACACGAACCGAATGCGGAGCCGAATCCGAAGCCGAATCCGGGGCGTGAGCCAAAGCCGGATCCGGAGCTGAATCCTGCACCGAATCCAGCGCCGGTGGAGGAGCCGGGGCCACCGTCATCCGCAGAAACGGTGAATGGCTCCAATGAATCTAACTTGCCGCATGCCCCCTGCTTCACAACTCCGGACGCTGCTCAGCGCGGTGAGCCTGCAGCGCGCGGCGAGGCACCGGAGCGCTGCGAGGCGCCGGTGCGCCGCGAGGCGCCGGAGCAATTCGAGGCGCCAGAGCGTTTCAAGGCGCTGGAACGCTTCGAGCCGCCGGAGCGCTACGAGGCACCGGAGCACTTCGAGGCACCAGAGCTCTTCGTGGCGCCGGAGCACTTTGTGGCGCCGGAGCCCTGCGTGGCGCCGGAGCACTGCGAGGCTCCGGAGCACTGCGAGGCGCCGGAGCGCTTCGTGGCGCCGGAGTGCTTCGTGGTGCTGGAGCCCTGCGTGGCGCCGAAGCATTGCGAGGCGCCGGAGCGCTTCGTGGTGCCGGAGCGCCCCGTGGCGCCGGAGCGCTGCGAGGCGCCGGAGCGCTGCGAGGCGCCGCAGGCCGGCGAGGTGCCGGAGCGCTTCGAGGCACCGGAGCGCTTCGAGGCGCCGGCGCGCTTCGAGGCACCGGAGCGCTTCAAGGCGCCGCAGTGCGGCGAGGCGCCGGAGCGCACGTACCGCACGCGCCAAACGCACTCGATGCCGCCGTCGCCACCCGGCGGTAAGTCGCGCATTCTCCCGCCAACGCCGCCCAGCTGCGGCAAGGGCCGACACGCGCGCAAACGGCGCCGTCGCGCCGCCGGCAAGTCGAAGAGCGCAAGCCTCGAGGAGCCGTCGCCGCCGCCACTCCCGGCGTCGCCGCCGCGGATTCACGATCAGCCGCCGCCGCTTCCCGGCGAGCCGCCACCGCCGCCGCTCGATGGTCCGATCGGTGCTGCGAAGGTGATATCGCCGAACGACCTGCCGCCGCCGGTGCTCGTGCCGGCGGTGAGGCCTCCCCTGGTGGCGAAGTCGGCGCCGCAGGCGGGCGCTGACGGGAGGAGGGGCGACGCGACGGTGGGCGGCGCCCGCTCGGCTTTCGTGCTCGTGGCGGCCGAGAACAGGCGGGAGGCGCTTGAGAACGGGCGAGAGGCGCCCAGTGACGACGGGGAAGAAGGCGACGGAGATGCAGGGAAAGACGACGTGAAGAGGCACGATGATCGACGAGCTCGACGCCGACGCCGACGCCGACAACACGCCGTCAGTAAGGGAGCGGCCAAGAAGGCGGCGCGTGCTGCCCCCGCCATGCCAGAGGTATCCATGCGCACGAAGCTGTACAAGCTGGGCAAGGGACCAGGCGGCATATGGAGTCGCAAGCCTCCAAAGAAGATCCCCCAGACGCCACCGCCGTCTGTGCACCAAGCACGGCGCCCAAGGTACGGTCTGGTGCTCAGCCGGTCGACAGCTGCTGCTTTCTTTTCAGCTGACTGCAATGACTGCTTTGTCCTGTTTAGCTATCTTCAACAGCTGATTGAATCACTTGGACTTAGTTACACTGCAACTCGGATCTGCTTTTGCTCAGCGATGCCCTTCCCGGTTCTTCTGCTGATCTGAGTAGCTCTTCTAATCTGTTCAACGCACTTGAACATTTTTGCTGTTCTTTTGACACGGGATAGTCACACTGTGCTTCGATAATGATCGGTGTTTCAATCAACACCCATGGCACCAAACGTTAAAATAGGCGGTCAAACGTCACCTCTTCTCTCCACAGTCGTGCCCACGATGCTGCACCGGAACAAGGCCAGAGCCATGAGCCTCGTGGCCCGCGTGACCCCGGCGGACCCCTCGACCGCCTCGACGCCGGAGGACACGCGGTGGCCGCGGCTGACCAGGGGTCGGGTCAACCATCCGCTGTAGTCAACGGTCACGGCGGAGCGAGGCCAAAGGTCAGGCAGGTGGGGACGCGTGGTCAGAAACCGCAACAAAACCTGCCCCCAGCCGGATCGCATCACGAGCCTGAACACGCAACAGGACGCCGTGATCCACGCCATCGGCCCCCTCTGCCGGGTGCAGACGCTCAGCAGTCTGTGTCCTCCGACCGGCGGATGTCCATGAATACCGCGGCCGGATGGAGCGAAAACGGTCTCGAGCAGGCTGCACAAGAGGCGAGAAGCCGCCGCTGCGCCCCTCACCCCGCGCGAGGCGACCTCCAGCACAGGAGGCATGAACGTGATAGGAGACCCGGGGAGCACCCGACTGACCGCCCGAAGGCCTCCGGGAGTCAGCAGCCGGAGGCGGAGCGGAAGCTGCAGCCGGCGCCGCAGCAGCCCAGCAGCCAGGTGAGCGGTGCAGCCCACCGGCGCAGATAGGCGAGCGTCACACATCCAGCCCTAATGGTCTTGCTAACGTACATCAAGGCGAGATTCCAACAGAGTGCGACATTCCTGATATCCCAACAGCACTGGGAAACAGAGTTGCATACTGGCAATGCTGTTCGTGGGTCTGGCTTCATGGCATGTAGAGTCATTACCAAAGGTCTGGGAGAGGTGAGGTTTGGGCCGATTTTGCACGCCGAGCTGACATCAAATGCTGGTCGGGCTGTTGCAGAAGAATGCTGAAACGTGATGCTGAATGTTGCGTTGCTCAGGTGGCCGTCCTTCTGCAGGTGGAGGCGGCAGCAGTCGTGCTGCTGGAGATGAGAAGGGGCAAGCTCCAGAGCACTTCTCGGGGTCTGCCAGTGCAGCACCCGAACCAGGCTCCCAGCCGTCACCAGGTATGGCATCCAGCACAGCAGGCAGTGGGGCATCCAAAGCAACGTCCGATGCCACCACTGCATTGCAGCCACTGCACTTAAGGCAGGATCCAGCCCAGCAACGGTCTCGGCAACCTACACACGAATCAGCAGGACCACAATGCTGCCCAAGAGACGACATAGTGATACTAGGCATCAGAACAGGGCCAATAGTGCATTTGTCGCTTGAGAGGCCGCAGGAGAGTTTGCTGTCGCAGCCGCGGAATACCAATGAGATCGGGGGACGCGGAATGGCCCCCGTTGTTGGTGAGCCTTAAAAAAAGAAGTTTAAAAGTGTAACTGATAATGGAGAGCAGGTTACAATAGTGGGTGTATGTGTGGACATGGCGGTAACCAACATGTCGGCCACATTTCTTGCGACATTGGTAGTTTTTACCCTCCCGTGTCGTCCCGAAACTCATTTTTCCCGCCAGCTGCATTCGTTCAGAAGCTCGCTGGTCATTATCGCTGTCTTTATTAAAGCGCATCTGATAGCTCCGTTTGACCTACTTACGTAAATATTGGGTGAGATATGCCAGAACTACGGGCAAACACTTCTTGCCGAACATTTGCTCCCACAAGAGATCACTTACATCAAACGACCTCGCTCCAGGTCATCGCGAACCCCGCGCCGGCCGCCTCCGAGGAAGCAGTCTCCGACATCGGCGCCATGGGAGTCGCTGCACCTCCTTGCCCACCTTCTGACAACACCAACGGCGGCATCGCCGAGAAGGCGGACTCCAAAGAGGAAGGGTCACCCGAGCCTGCCCAGGCCCCCTGCCCGCGCTGCTGGAATGACCTTCCGCTGCGCCGCCGATCGTATCAGGCACAAACGGCTCGGTCACTGCCTGCGGGTGGGTAGGTGACCTTCCAATAGCGGCCATTTTTGCCGCCCCATATTTCTTGCTTGGCTGACTGTGGTGTTTGATTGTCTGTGCCGACGTCAAGAAAATGTCTTTTGATTCTTAGCAGGGGTAAGTTTCTTTTCCTGATGCAACGACGCATGGAATTGACTTTGACCGTCTGTTTGCCCTCGTGCTCCCTGGTCGTTTGTTTTGGCTTGCTTGTGTTGGGTGGTACTCCTGTTCTGTGCCTTTGGTGGACGCGGGGTGGGTGTTGGGTTGGTGTGAGGAATCCGCTGTTTGCGCCTTCAGTATAGTCAAACGTTCTGTTGATTCGTGTGTTTTTGAATCTGTCAGATGTGCGATAGCGTGCAAGCTCGTGACATGTTCATGAGTTTTGCTTTTGATGGAACAACTTTGCGGTTGATTTAGTTCAATCCTCTTGATTTTATGCCGCCCTATGCGCACAAATATTTTGAAAGTGAGGTTCTAATATTCGATTGTTCACCAAGGTTCTGAGTCTTGTTAGCTGATGGCCAAGTCTGCCCAAAGTTGTATCCTCCTCTCAGGACCTTGTATAGGTAACTATGACCAACGCTGCTGACTTATGTCTTCGCCGGAAAAAAACTACTGCGTTGTCATGCCTTTATTGATTTACCAACACAGAATGCCGTAAGCCACCAGCCACCCCCCCCCCCCCCTTCCACACTTTCTGTTCGATGACCCTGACCCTGGGTCATTCCCTTTCAGGGAAGTGAGCTGCCGCGCAGGACATTTGCGAGCGTCGCCGATGACTGCACCATCCTCGCCTCGCATGAGAGTGTTGGCTCAGATAGAACAATTGGAACGTTTCGTGAAGAAGGTGCAGGCGTAGGGAGAGAGCACCGTACAGAGCGTATCGAGAAACCCAGCCAAACGCAAATCGGAACCAGGAGAAGCAGTGAGCGCTTTGAGAACAGCGGAGCCCGCGCTGCCAGTCGTTCTGAACCTGCCGGCGGCGAGGCCTCCGGTAGATCAAGGCCTCCCTCTCCTTGGCACTCCATATTGGCACACCAAGGCCCTGATGTCAGTCATGGAAATCCCATTCAACACGTTGATGAATGCAAAAAACACTGGTCTGCGCCACCGCGGTCCGGGGGCGACCAGGAAAGGTTTCATGATGGGTTCTCGGGTTCTGAATTGCAAAGTTGTAAGGCGGCAGAGAATATTAGTGAACCCTGTCTTTTAGATTTGTCGACTAAAAACAACGTTTTATATTCGGATAGGGGGTGCCAGCATGATTTGGCGCACCGCACGCGTGAGCGAGGATCGGCAGCGATGGCCGAGGGACCGTTCACACAATTTGTATTGGATATGCGGGTTAAGAAGCCCATAATGGAAATTCTCAGAAAAGCAACTCCAGAGGAAGCCAAATATTTCGGAATATCAAGCCGAGAGAGTTTCAGCATCCCAAATGCATCTCAACATGTAGCGGCGGAAAGTTGCAAACCACTGGAGGCCGGTCGGCGAGAGAGGCACGATCCAAACCAGCATTTGGGCGAAGTGACGTCACACTTCAAGCATCCAGGACTGGGCCCAGTAGCCACCATCCTAAGTCGACAGCCCGATCCAGAAGACCTCGAAGTCCGCCAGCGAGCCTCTGCATCCTCTGAGAACATCGGCCAACCCATCCCATCACGGCTCGATTCCTTGGCCGCAGAAGTTCTCACTCGGGTGGCCTCCAAAGCCGCAGCCCAGGTATGCTCATCGGGCTGCACCCAAGCTCCGCCAGTCTCTTCCAGCGATGCAGCACCGCCACAGAAAACTCCAAAAACGGGCCTTGGACCGACCCAATCCCTCAACGAGGTGTCCGCTGATCTGATAAGTCCCGGGAGCCAGGCGACGCGGAAGAAAAGCAGAACGTCTCCCGCAATGCCACCAGCTTCAGAGGACCAGCAAGGAGGCTGGAAGCGACAGCTCGAAGAAATCTGGGAATCATGTGCGGCGGCCACCGAACGGCCTTCCTTGAAGAGAACTCACCGCCCCACCGGCGAAGCCGCGTTTGCCGAAGGTGTTGACGACCTGGGAAACGAAGTATGCTTTGAGAATAGGGGTACCGGGGAAGGAGGATATCGCATGAGGATGGACTGGGTGAACGTGGCCCCGCAACAGCCTGAGACGCCACCAGGAACCTGCCAGACTTATTCTAAACCTCTGAAACTGAGGAGACCTTCCGATCAGCCTTTGGGCCGTACTAATGGGGACTCAGCCCCCACCTCCCTGCGCTGGCAACCCAGAAAAGACGATAGGCCCCCTCCTGCACCACCGCACTACAGCCCTATCTCCTCGGCGTCACCCAGCCCTGAAGCGGCCCGACCCACGGTCATCGCCAGGAATCCCTCTGTCGAGCAAGCACAGTTGGCGAGCTTCAAGATCTCCTCGAAGGAGGTACCCCGGGTGCTGACAGAACTTCCTGAGTTCTCTTCCGACAAGGGTTCGCGTATAGGGAAAAACGTGCACAACGTCCATGACGAGATATGGAAGGCCATAGATGTTACGGACATCCCAACGCATGGCGTCCAGCCGATAGCGGACATGTCCAGCATGTCGCGTGAACAGGCATGCCTTCTGGAGGCGAACGTGCTGCACGTCATCCCCAATGAAAAATCGTCGCTTAAGGTCCCTGACGTCTCTTCCGCAGAACCAGCGGTGGTAGACATCAGTAGCCCTGCTGTGACCAATGCGGCGATGTTGGCACCAAGCTCCACTCTGCCATCGATTCAGAGCCGCGACGTTAGCAACTCGACCGCAGCATCCACAGACATTGACTTCAGCTCTCCCTGATGTTGAAGGCGTCATTGGATCGCACGTGGAGCAGCAGAGCACAGCCCCGCCACCTATTGTGTCCAACCCGTCGTCCGAACAGAGGCATGAACCATCGCAGGCAGTTTACCTAGCGCCGGCAGAAGACTCATTGACACTGGAGAGGCGTCGAGGGGGAGGCGATGTGTCAGTCAGTGGGTCTGTGGGTTATTCGGCAACTGCTGGCCGCTACCATCCGGCTGATGAAAGGAGTCGCAGCTATCCGGTGGATGAAAGGCGCGAAGTGGATGTGGATGTGGTGGCGGTCCTGCCTCCCGCTAGCGCGAGGCAGGTGATTTTCGCGTCGGGAAAGCCTTCCATACCGATGCCACGTGAGCAGACGAGTGGTCGGCAGGAGGGAAAACAGGTGAGTCGTACGGCGCTGGTTGACCGGCAGTACAGCAAAGTCTCGAGGCCCGGCGACGAAGCTCAGAACAATTCATTTTCTCAAGCAGGGTTGCTGATGTCCTCACACGGTTTGAACTACCTAACATCCGGGGTTCCCACGGGACTCCAACATCCCGAGGACCAAGCACTCGCAGCACGGACGACTCCATGTACTGAAACCTCAGCTGCTGAGCTCCCGAACCTACTTTGTCCATCCAACGGCACAATTGCGGTACCTGCGATGACGAATGATCGCCGTCCCAAGAACGAGTCGCCGCTGACGAAAACGCAGCACCCTTTGCAGAACCAGGCCCCGTTGGTACCAGCACAGTCGGGCTTCCACCAACCTCAGGTTCAAGCCAGCTGTCGGCGAACCATGCTCGTTCATCCCAATCGGACGCACACGAGACAGGATGGCACGAAAAATCGTGCACACCTCGCGGATCGACCGCCCGTTTCGGATCGTCAGGACCTATTTGGGCCGGATCTCGGCAACTCGAGGGGGAGTGCGATGGCCTCAGAGGGAGTTGAAAAACATGACACGCCATCAGTCGCTTTTCCGGAGGCTCGCAACGTGTCAGGAAAAGACCACCATCTGAGTGCTTCGAAACGGGAGTTGGAGGGCATTGGAAGTGGAACGGCGGGGGTCCCATTGGCTGTTTTGAAGAGCCCTGTGCAGAGATACAACAGTCTTAACAAAACAGGCAATGGAGGGGATACGGGTCAGTGCAGGGGGGAACCGACACGTCGGGGAGGTACCAGCACCATGACCTCGAATCCCAAAGATGCGGATCACCAGATTTTGGGTGATCGCACAGCAGAGCTTCGTGATGAGTTATACTCTCGTCAGGGTAGCGCCCTTCCTAACGGTCAGCAGCAGGAAGCCAACAGACATGCGTATCACCCAGAACAGTGTCCTAGCGGTCCTGTGGACCTGCGAAATGGAGCAGCAGGTTCTGGAAACAACGGGGAACTTGCGAAAAGTCAGCCAGGCTGTTCGTTTCCACCACCTCCTCCGGTGCAACCCTCCACATCGCTGCTACAGCCACCACCTGCTTCGTCCGAATTCCACGGGACGGTCATCCAAGGCCATCCTTCGCGTTCTTCAGGCGCACGCACGACACCCACCCAACATCAGGCAAGGCCTCAAGCCGGCGATGGTGACAGGTCGCGCCCTCCGCCTCAGGGCCGCGTACCGTCTCCAGCTGTCTTCGACGTCGGCGACCCCCTGAAGAGGAGTTCAGCGACACCAGCGGCCCTCGACGGTGCGACACCGACTCAGATCGACATACACTCAACACCCCAGCGCTCGTGCGTCGACGGCAGTGGTCCACGTGCAGCCGTCTCGAATCGAAAGCGGCGGTCTGCGCACGGTCACCGCGACCCAACTGGACAGAACAGGGGCAACAGCGGTGAGGTGAGCTCCTCACAAGGAGACTCTAGCCAAGTGGGGGTTGCACGACGCGCTGAAGGCGGAAATCCGGGGTATCTGCACGGTGCTGCCCCGTCGATGAGCCAGGAGGAAGCGGCGAGACAACACAGAGTGTTCGTGACGCCCACGCATATGTGCGGGTCGTCGATTTCGGCAGACTCTCCCACCTTTTCGCGAGCGTCTCCTCATGGACGGGTGCGTCTCCAGGGGCCAGTAGCTCCAGACCAACCAAATTCTCGAGAGTGTGCGGCTGGGAAGCAGCATTCGCTCGGCCATGCTCTGTCAGAACAAGGGCCTACGCATCGGTACCATCCTCCGCTCTACAGACCAAAACATCAGCTTGATACAGCTCGCTCGTCAGGATCTCGACGTCAAGCGGTTACCCCTGGTCATGGACCAAGGCATTCTGACTGTGGCGAGCCACTATGGGGACCGGGATTCCAGCCACCTCACAACACTGAGTTCCAGCGGCAAAGCGACCATTCTGCCTTCGTAACTGCACCCCCCGAACGTCCGGTCTTCCGGCCAGATTTCGACGGTGGGGTGCTGCATCACGATCGCTTCCTCTCGCCATATAAATTCTGGAGGGGCCTTCATCCGCCGTATCAGCAGCCCCTTCCGTATGCTCTCTATCCAGCTACTTCGACGACAGTATCTGGTGGCGTTGATCGACCAACGCACGCTCTTTGGGGCCCCATGCCATCTCAACAGCCCCTTCCACAGCCAACTCCACGACCACCTCCACAGCCACCTTCACAGCCACCTCCACAACTACCTTCACAGCCACCTACACAACCACCTCCACGGCCACCTCCACAGCCATCTCCACAGCCACCTCCACAGCCACCTCCACAGCCACTTCCACAACTACCTCCACAGCCACCTCCACAGCCACCTCCACAGCCACTTCCACAACTACCTCCACAGCCACCTCCACAGCCAGCTCCACAGGCACCTCCACAGCCACCTCCACAGCCAGCTCCACAGGCACCTCCGCAGCCACCTCCACAGCCACTTCCACAATCCCATCCACAACCACCTCCACAGCCACCTCCACAGCTACCTCCACAGCCACCTCCACAGCCACCTCCACATTACTACCTTTCGACATATCAATGTCCTATTCTGCATTACAACCCATTTTCACATAGCAGCCAGTATCTTCACTACGATCCTCTTCCTTACCACGGCATTCTCCCACAATATGTC